ACATTGTATTTAAAGTAACAATACGATACAATACAATAGGTAACAACCATCCAAACAAGTTGTAAAGCAAAGCCTAGGGGATAAATTTAATTCAACTCCTGTATAAGCTTTGTTTCTTGTAAATATAAGTTTAATCTGTTTTGCTACTGTTTACCAAAAGAGCACATCTCTACTTGGGATTCTCAAACTTTTAAAGTCACGGGGCTATTACATGGTACACTAAAATTTGAAAACCCAGGCAATTACACTTTCGAGGTTCGTCGCATATACCTATTTAGGCATAAGCTGATGAAGACATGGCCAAAAATTATAAATATCATGAAAGAATATATTGTAACATCTCTAGTCAAAACTCCCAACTTCAACAGCCCACACAGGAATGCTCATGTATCATGTGGCACAGCTCTCTCTGTCCATACTGAATCCGGAAACTGCTAATATAGCATCACATACTTCATAAGAAAAAGTAAAGGTACACTTCTTAGACTGTGGTATTTGCTGGAGCTTCGTGCGTATATAAACGATAAAATGAGAATCACATTTACAGCAATTAATATCTTACCACTCATAGAGGTCGCTGATCAAAAATCTAGTCCTCCTCCATAGGAACGTCTGGGATATCAAACCTATCTTCTTCAATTGCTTTATTAATCACAGAAAGAGGACTTGGTAATAGAGAGTTAAGAAAAATTTGTCCAATGATGCAGCAGAAAAATAGTAATAGGAATATCCAACAAGTGAACCTTAGCAAGATGAATCTACATTTACTATTTTATTTCAGTCGTAAAGAACCTTAGGAAATAAACCTGTTAAAATGCATACAACTTGAAAAAACAACTGGCTTCAAAGACGCACAAAACTTACAAACAGAAGATAGCACCTTGCTATGTGCTATGCATGACAACCTACCACAGATTCCTTTCACAGCTTCTGAGAAATGGAAGGGGGTTTGTTGTGCGTGGGTTGGGGGGGGGTAACAAAAGGGTACATCGATCTTTCCTTGTTAGTGTTTCACCTAATTAATGTCTGAGGGGAACCATTAGTGATTATCCCATCAATGCAGATATGCACACTCACAGATATCCCTAAAGCGCAAATTTACTGATATAGCAGAA